GAGGGTGGCTCTGACTTCCTCTGCAGAGGCAGGCCCCTGCAGAGTCCCCACCCAGCCTTTGATCCCTGTCCCAAAAGAGGGTGAGGCCTGGAGGGCTATTTTTTTCTTTACTCTGCTTCATGCCCAAAAGGAGTGGTCAGCTGTTAGTTGCCCTGCCCTATCCCCCCACCTCCCCTGTGAGTCCATCTGGGAGTGAGGTGGAGGAAAAAGGCCTTGTCCAAAATGCCACAATTTGAATTTTTGGAAGGAAAGTCTCAGGACCCAATGCCTGGCAACTTTGGAACAGCTCAGGTGGACTTTGGTTTCCAGAGGAAGGGGCTCTCATTTGTGCATGAGCTTTCTCTCTGTGCATCAGCTCTCAGCTGCAAAATAGGCACAATTTATAGTATCTTTCTTAGAGCCTTTTTTGAGAATAGAAAGAGCTAATACATGCGAAATACTTAAAACAGTGACTGCTCTTTTACATGGGGTTCCCAGACTTCCAGGTGGGGTTCTCTTTGCCCTCATGGGAAACCTGAGTGTGTGGGGGTGGGGGTGGGAGTGTGAGGAGGACCCTGAGCCTCGCAGCCATGTAGATGCTTCTGAGGGCAGGTAGAACATTCTCTGAGAGAGCCTGGACCTGCTAGATTCCAGCAAAGGCTGAGGCTTTGTGGAGCTTTAGCTTTATGGAGAATTGGGGATTGAGGTATCCTTGAAGGGGGAGGTGCAGGGCCTTGGAAGGAGGGCTGGGCCTGGTCTGACACCAAGCCAAGACTTGTCCACTTGAGGACACCCTACAACTGTGGGAGAAAAGGTACCGGTGCTCCTTCGAGGCCTTTTAAAGGACTGTTATGTAGATTATTATGTAGATTAAATGAGAATGGGTGTCAACATGCTTTGTAATGAAAGCAGATTTCAGGACAGACATGGTGAAGGGAGCGTCTACACCATCTCAACCAGGGTGGGGGAGGGAGATGACTGGGCTTTTGGGCGCTTGAGTGTTGGGAAATTGCTCTTGGATGCAAACAAACTGCATTTGGGCCCTTCCAGTCAGAGGCTTCAGGTGGAGGTAAGCCTCCAGCTTGGGGGAGGTCCTCAGGGTGCGGATTCTGGCCTGGGTCCTCCGGCTCTGGGATGGGCCAGTGTAGGGATGTACGCCTGTTGGTCGTCAGTGGCAGCATGTGGCGGGAAGCTGCCAGGCTGGGGCCTCCAGGAGCCCAGGCAGACAGGTGCAGAGGCAGGAGCGGCGGCAGGGCTGGCTGCCTCCGGGGAGCTGAGGAGCAGCAGGCGCTGGAGGGCCAGAAAGCAGCTAGCTTCTTGCCCAGGTACCCGGCCCTTCGTTCCAGGAGGCGCGGAGAGGAGGGGACGCTTGTCCAAACCGGAGGTCCACAAACCGCAGGTTCCGCCCGAAGGGGAAACTGTTCTGTGATGCCCGCCGCAGCTACCCACTGCCACCAGCTCCCTCGGCAGGCTCCGTTGCCCACGGCAGCGTGGACGAGTGGGTGGGGGAGCGGTCCAGCCGTGACCTCCCTCCGGGCGTGTGAGATCCGCTGGACCTTGTTCCTGGGAGGGACACCCCGTGGGTTTCCAGAGGGGCGTCGGCAGCTGACACGGACGAAGCAGGGACCGACCGCCAGAGCTGCTGTCCCCCTCCGGCCATCCCAGCGGAGAGGACCCAGCAGCGCGGGAACTTCGACGGCCACAGCCCGAACCACAGCCTGGAAGATGACCGAGAACCCAAGATCAATATCCACAACAGCCGGAAGATGCTTATTGTTTAAAAGGAAGCTCTTTTGTTCTTTTTACTAAAGACAGAAGCAAAAACATTTTTTTTTCCCCCCTGATCAAATTTTTGCTGACATCTAAACAGCCAGACCAGCTCCTGGCCTCTGCGTCAGGACTCCTCGCCCTTTCCCCTCGGCGGGCCGGGACGCGCGCTTGCGGCTGGAGGCCCCGCTTCAGGCTGCGGAAGGGGCTCGGGCCGCAGCTCGCCCCACCCTCCCCGGCCCCCGCCCCCACGTCCCCCGCCCGCCGCCGCCGCCGCCGCTCTCCCGAGCGGGGTTTTCTTGGGAAGCGAAGCTGTTTCAGCCAACCTGCGCGTCTGGTGGCTGAGGGCCGGCTTCCGATTCCATTTAAAACGACCCGCGCATCTTATCTCCGTGTCGCCTCCCTGGGGTTTCCACCCACCCCCCGGCCCAGCCCAGCCCAGCCCTGGCGGAAGCAGAGCCGGGAGCTTTTGAAGTCCCCAGAATTTCAATCCGAGAGGAGCCGGCTGGACCGGAGCCGGTCGCCCCAGCGGGGAAGGGACTGTGGGCCTGCGGGGTGGGGGGATGGGTGTCTCCCCGCTGCAGGAAATGAGAAGCGGCAGCAGCCCCGCCTGGACCCCACTGGGGCTGCTGTCACCCCCTCTCCGCTTTATGGGGTTGCCCAGGCTTTTATGGGGTTGTGCAGCTTCGCTCGGTTTCCGAATGTCCCTTCCTTCTCGCGCCATGCCGTGCACAACCTTCATGATACAGTGACAAGGACGTTATTAAAATCCCCCCCATAACTCCCCCCAAAAGCCAAAACAGTGTTCTTATCTGGTCTCCTCTTTCTGTCTTCTTCCTGTTAAAAATTTAGCCTTTTTAGATCTGGTATCAATGCTTTAGGAAGAAGTTTTGTTAAAATTTTTTTTCCCCTAAAGTCTTGGGGCAGGGGTGGTTGGGTAGGCTCCTAAAGACCGCGGAAACTGAGGCTGCTTTGAAAGGGCGGAGCAGAGGTCGGGAGAGGGGTGGGGCAGCAGTTGGGCTCAGGGGATGTGTCTCCGAAACTTAAGGTCTGGAGCCCGAAGGCGGCAGCTTCCCTCCAGAGAATCTCGGCTTTTGCCTTCTCTTGGGGGCATAAGGGGAAGGCCTGCTCTGTTGGGCACGACCCAGGAAGGAGACTAAGTGGCACCCCTTGATCTCTCAATCCCACTCTGCTTTCATCTCACGGGGAAAACTCAGAGGAAAAGAGGATCAAACACAGAGCATTCCCATTGAATGCAAAGCTGGGGGCGGGGCAGGGGAGCCTTGGTGTCCCCCTGTGGACTCAGCTCTCAGGAGATGGGGGTGGCAAGCTGTGAGAAGGTGGCCTGCTCATGGGGGGAAGGGGAGAGGAGGGGAGAGTGGGCGCCACCCAGGCCCAGTGCTGGAAGGGCCCTACAGAGGGCCAGCAACCTCGGCAGACAGACGCTGAGATGTCGACTTTGACCGGAAGGGGAGAGCAAACCAGGTGCTCCCTCAGGCTCTGGCTGTTTTGGGGGAAGGGCAGGGCACGACAGAATCCTTGGACAACTCTGAAGGGCAGCAAAAGGTTTTGGGATTTGATCCTCCCACTCCCAATCGCTCCTCTCTCACCTCTAAAACATTTCCCAGATTTTTGGGTTAGTAGTGCTCAGCAGATGGTGGCTTTGGGAGTCCCAGGGAGTGGAGATATTTATGTGGACACTACCCTCTGGATTCTATGTCCCTGTCTCCCAGGTGAAGTTAACGAACACCTTGTTATTGAATTGGGGGAAGAGTGGAAAGCAGGAGTGGGGATGAAACTTTGTCTTTCCTTGGACTCCTTGCTTCCTCCACTACTTCCATAACCCCATGGATGGGAAGACTGGGGGTGGGGGGTGGAAGAGAGAGGGAGAAGAGTAGAGAAAAAGGAGTGGAGAAAAGTGGGAGATAGAAGAAAAAAGGTAGTGGTGGAGGGACTTTAAAAGCCGAGACTTTGCCTAGGGACATGCAGAAGGAGGGAGGTGCAGGGGCTGGGCTTTGTAGCTGGCTTTGTAGGGCTAGAAGCTCTTGGGGAGGAGGCGGAGAAAGGGTAGTTGAGCACAGAAGGTGCCCACCTCTTGCCCTCAGCAAAATGTGGAGAGACCCAGCCTACCTGTCGGCCCCAAAACATTTGCCCAGAGTTTGGAAGGGCTCAGTATGAAGGAATTCTATCCCACCTTCCCCCAAAAAAGACCTGAGAGAGGCCTGTGGCAGCCCCCAAACATCAAGTTCCACACCCTCTAGACCTGCGATGGGGGTTTGACTTCCACCCCTAAAAATTTATGAGCCCCCTAGTCACTTGCTCTTTCAGGGCATTTTCAGTGGCTTTTCTCTCTTCAACTCCCAGCACTACCCACCTTTGGAACCAGGGACCAATGCCCCTAGGCAGGGCCTGAGGGAGGACCCTGTGAGTCAGACCTCAATGAACTCCATCGTTCTGAGTGCTGGGGTACTCCCACTGCTCACCCTAAACCCCTGGGTGAAAGCTAGCACCGTCTCCCTGCCAGGGACCTCCAGTGCTGCCATAGTAGGGGCCGCGTTTACCACTACCTCTTTACTTAAAAAACCCTCTCTTGGGGAGAATTCGTTGACTCCAAACGAATACCTTAAAATATGGGCAAGAAAAAAAAAAATACCAGTCTTAGAACCTCTCCCCACTCGACATACCTTAAGTGCAGGCGAGGCCCAAGCAAACGGGAAAGCGACTTCTTCTATGAATAGCCACCTCGAGGTCAAGTCGGGCTGTGGAAAGCTGAAGACCATCTACATGGGGAAAAGGGAATAAAAAAATCAGCGAACACTGACTCAGCAGCCGAGGCGGGTCTTTAAAGAAAAAAAAAATATGAAGGCATTATAATCTCTTGGCCCGTGGGGAAGAAAAATGGCAAAGTTTGGTTCCTCAGAGGAAGGAGACTGATGGGGGTAGGGGGAGGGAGGAGAAGAGAGAGGAAAGGATAGCTCAGGCTCAAGCTCTCCAGTCGAATTGGGGAGGGGGGATACGTTTTTCGGTAGCTTGTAAAAAGACTTTGGAGCTGATTTGAGGTTAGCTGCCAGGGGCAGGCAGTTGTAATAATGCCGAAAGAATCGAGGCTTGTAAGCTGGCCTTCACACTTCTAAAACACAGTTACAGATTCTTTCATCAGTGTTAGATCAAGGCGCCAAGTTAAGAAAACAAAAATCAAAACAATAATAAAAGAAAAAGTCAAAAGCATATTTAATTACCGAGTCCCGCTGCCCCTACGGAACTCTCCGGGCGCGGTAAGCTCTCTTTTCTTTCTGCGGAATTCCATTTGCATCCCCTCTGCCTGGGTGTCTCCCTCTCTCAGTGTGTGTGTCTCTCTGTTTTCACACTCTCCTCCCCATTCGAGCGAGGCCCACACCTGGCGCATCACTGCCGAGCCATTAGCTGCGGGTCTCCTTTCATCTTCGCTGTGGCAGACGTTTCTATTTATCCACTTGCGCTCGCCGAGTGGCGTCACCAGCGGTACTGTAATGACGATTGCAGCAGGAGGATGACAGCTTAGAAAGAAGAGGGCAATGGGGCTTCCTCCCAGAGGCGGTGCGGCACAGAGGAGCGCTCGCATCACAAGGTGACCCTAGCTCCCCAACGCCACCGCCGCGGTCGCCGTCGACATCGCGCTCCGGCCGCTCCGCGCCCGCCCAGTCCCCGGCCTCTTTTTCTCCCTCTCGCAGCCAAGATCTATCCGGCCGCTGGGGACCCGGGGAGCAGGGGGTTAGGAGCTCACTTGGGGCTTTCCCCCGCCCCCCACCGGAGAGCCCCGGGATGGAGAGCCGAAAGGACATGGTTATGTTTCTGGATGGGGGTCAGATTGGCACTCTGGTTGGCAAGAGGGTCTCCAATTTATCCGAAGCCGTGGGCAGCCCGCTGCCCGAGACGCCCGAGAAGATGGTGCCCCGTGGTTGCCTGAGCCCGCGGGCCGGCCCTCCGGCCTCCCGGGAGCGCGGCGGGGGAGGCCCGGAGGAGGAGCCGGTCGATGGACTAGCAGGCAGCGCGGCGGGGCCGGGCACCGAGCCACGGGTAGCCGGGGCGGCCATGCTCGGCCCGGGACCCCCAGCCTCCTCCGCCGACAGCCTCTCCGGCCAGGGGCAACCCAGTAGCTCGGACACCGAGTCGGATTTCTATGAAGAAATCGAGGTGAGCTGCACCCCGGACTGCGCCACCGGGAACGCCGAGTACCAGCACAGCAAAGGTAGCCACCGCACCCCTCCGTTCCCCCCGGCCTCCCAATGCGCCCACCCTCACTTCAGCGCAGGCCAGGAGGAAGACACTCTTTTTCCCCAGGGCAGGATGGCAGGGGGGACCCACCTGAGCAACTCTCCCCTGCTAGCTGCGCCCTGGCGGGGGTCTCCCACTGTGTTCTGGCATTGGCGGACTGAGGGTGACAGCTGTGCCTTGTGGGGGGGAATGCAAGTCCTGGGCTTGGGGGAGTCAATGTGCACCCCAACCCCCCAGTGTTTTGTGGGAATGCTTCAACTGTGGGGGGGAAGACACCTTCCCCAGGCTAGGGCAAGATCAAACGCCAGTCCTGGCAGTTTGTGGCTGGCGGGGTGTAAGACGCATGGAGGCGCGGAAGCCAGGAGTCCATAAAGGACCGTAAAATCGCGGCCCACTCGGGCAGCCCGGGTGCTGCAGCCCTCCAACCAGTTTGCACGTCGGTCAGAGGTCCAAATTACCTTGTCACTTCCCGGGCTTGGCGGCGCCAGGTCGGAAATGGTCCCAATGGTCTAATTGCCTTTGGTCTCCGGTTGCATTTGAAAAGGCAGAGATCAGGTCCTCCCCCTTTCCCCTTCCCTTCCTAGTCCCACTTCTCCACCCAAAGGAAAAGGAGCTGCAGGGGGCTGGAGCCCCACCCTTCTCAGAGGTAGGCCCAAAGCGGGGCAGCTTTAACTGGAGAACCCCTCCCAGACCAGGAGCAAAGGCTAAATGGGAAAGGGGGATGGATAGCCCGGAAGGGAGTCTCCTTCTGAGCCGACAATCACCCCACCAGAGAGGGGTGGAAAACTGGGAGGGAGAGCCCACCAGCAGACACTCCTCCATAAAGCTGTGGGAGTGGGTGGAAAGAGCCTGGGAGGGAAAAGAGACCACCGTTGGCCTTGGCAGCCAATATCTTGTGGAGAACCCACACCCACCCCTTACCATCTTATCACCCACTCCACCCAGACTCCCTACCATAATATATCTTCAGAACAATCTATACTTCACTCAAATACACAAAGGTAATAGTATACTCAAACATGCACTCCCATGCCACCCCTGCAATACATGGAACCTAGTACACATTCCCACACCTGTGCTGGCAGCCTGGCAAACAACAGCAAGGAAACTATCTGCTCTGCATCCTACAATGCTCTAAGACCCAGAGGGTATAGCTGCTCCAGCACAAAGATGCATCTCAACTCACGTGCCGGGCAAAAGAGCATATCCTGGCTCACTCCTGCCAATGGTAGGCAGAAAGCTCTCGGAGGCTGCAGCTCACCTGTGCACCAGGGCTTGTAGGGAGGGTGGCTTGGAGCCTCTGTACCCAGCTTGCCTTGGTAGGATGCCTCTCATAGAGCAGCCAGGCCAGACCTCCCCAAAGATATCTATGCACCCATTCCAAGGGCAAGCCCTTATCCTTCCCTCCTGGGTTCCCCAGAGGCTGCAGCGCCCCAAGCAGTGGCAGTTACTGAGATGGCTGAGGTGGGGGGGGGGAGTGTCCCTTCCCAACTTGCTCCCTCCGGGGGCCTACAGATCCAAGTCAGCGGCGTTTGTATGTTTGTATCTGTCGTGTGTCTGTGTGTGTGCACGTGTGTGCTCTGGGCTCCCTGCGCAGGGCCCGGCTCCGAGGCACTGGTCGGCAGCCCGAACGGAGGCAGCGAGGCCCCCAAGAGCAACGGCGGAGGCGGCGGCGGGGGCGGCTCGCAAGGCACCCTGGCCTGCAGCGCCAGTGACCAGATGCGCCGTTACCGCACCGCCTTTACCCGGGAGCAGATTGCGCGGCTGGAGAAAGAATTCTACCGGGAGAACTACGTATCCAGGCCGCGGAGATGCGAGCTGGCGGCCGCCCTGAACCTGCCGGAAACCACCATCAAGGTATGTGCGGTTGGGACTGGGAAGGCAGGTGTGCACCCATTTAGCAGGAAGTAAATACCAACTGCCCACTCCCTAAATCGGTGCCTGGAATTGAGCCTGAGGTTTTCCTGCCTAGTGCGTGCAGATTGGGCACTGCTGCCATGCGCTGGAGTATGTTCCTTTCCTAGCCAAATCGACAACGGGATAGGGATGGAGTTCCTGTGTGGGTAACAGGGGGTGGCCCAAAGGAGATGGAGGGAAGGGGTCGCGTTTCTGGGGAAACACTCCCTCAGACTCATGTAGTCCCAGTCCTAGTCCTTCCATTCCTTGCAAATCCACATCAGATTCCGGCACCCTGGGGGGCCTGGCCACGTGGGACGAGGGAAGGAGGGACGGAGATTGCAGTCACTCCCTAACCTCTCTCAGGGATTCCAGCTCCAGGCCATGGTGGTGGGGCCTGCCCTCGCCCCAGTGGCGTCTGCTTTGGCTATTCTCTGCACTGCCAACATTGTCCCCTGCAGTGAGACAGGACTTCTGGGCTGTGGGAACCGGGCCGAGTCCAGCTGCCGACCCTGCCCCGCTCCTCTCCCCAGGTGTGGTTCCAGAACCGGCGCATGAAGGACAAGCGGCAGCGGCTGGCCATGACGTGGCCGCACCCGGCCGACCCCGCCTTCTACACGTACATGATGAGCCACGCGGCGGCCGCGGGCGGCCTGCCCTACCCCTTCCCGTCGCACCTGCCCCTGCCCTACTACTCGCCGGTGGGCCTGGGCGCCGCGTCCGCGGCCTCGGCCGCCGCCTCGCCCTTCAGCGGTCCGCTGCGCCCCCTCGACACGTTCCGCGTGCTCTCGCAGCCCTACCCGCGGCCCGAACTGCTGTGCGCCTTCCGCCACCCGCCGCTCTACCCCGGCCCGGCGCACGGACTGGGCGCCTCGGCCGGCGGCCCCTGCTCCTGCCTCGCCTGCCACAGCGGCCCGGCCAACGGGCTTGCGCCCCGGGCCGCCGCCGCCACCTCGGACTTCACCTGTGCCTCCACCTCCCGCTCGGACTCCTTCCTCAGCTTCGCGCCCTCCGTGCTTAGCAAGGCCTCCTCCGTCGCGCTGGACCAGAGGGAGGAGGTGCCCCTCACCAGATAAGGGGCCGCTCGCGGGCTGTCGGCTCCAGGACGCCCGTGGGGGGCCCGCGGGACTCAGGCAGTGCTCCTCCTCGCCCTCGGGACACCGAGGGGGGAGGAGAGGGCCGAAAAGGACCAGCGGGACTCGGCCTCACGGATTGGGACGCCCAGGAAGCAGCCAAGGCTGGCGCCTTTGTGGGGCAGACGTGGGGATGGGGAAGCAGAGGTTGAAAGACCGTCCTCTGGGGTGGCCTCTCTTAGCCATTCATTAGGGGACCCACCACCCCTCAATGGGGTTGAGGCTGTGGCTCCAAAGCTAGACAAAAATTAGCAACGGCAACCGATATCCACAAGCCCTCAGCCCTCCATCCCCCCACCTCACACTGCTTCCTCCAGAGGCCCCCTCTCCCCTGCCAAGCCCAAGCCCAAGCACTGGAAAGGAAAACTGCTGTCTCTCTGAACAAAATGCTGTGTATGCAGAGCAGGTAGAGATTAATCTTTGCCAGCCTTCCCCAGGCATGGCAAGGGGCTTGAGGATGGCAGCACCAGCCATTTGAGGGAGAGAGTGAGAGAGATGATTTACTACCAGGGAGAATCCTGCCCCTTGGCATGGAACCTGGGGGCTCTCTCACCTTCCTGGAGCCTCAAGCACACAGCATCTTCCGGTTCTGGCACCTACCAGCACAGGATCTCTTTCCTCATTCCCAGCTTATGACACCTCTCAACTCATGGCTCCATCCCTATCCCCACCCTCCCCTCCCCCACTCCCTCCACCTCTCCCACCCTTCCCACCCTCCACCCCACACCCCACTTTTTGTTAAATTCTGGCTGGGAGGCTGCAGACACCCAAGGGCCTTGGCAGCTTTGAAGAGGCCAAGCCTCTTTTCCCTGCGCCCAGCACACACCCTGATTAGCAAGTGTGTGAGGAGGGTTTTTGAATGTTGAATGTATAATAATGATCACCATTGGAGCCCAGAGCTGAGCTGTTAACAAGGTACCCAGGGAAGAGCTTAGGGAGTGGGAGCTTCACCTCCCTCCCTATCTGGTAGCAAATTAGAGGCTATTTTCATCTTTTGCCTGTTCACCTTCACTTCACTAGCTTTCTGGCCCTACCCTTTGCATTTGGCATTTTTTATCTTTCTCTCATTTTCCTCCTGAGCTGCCACTGGGGCTTGACTTCCACATGCCAGTGTGGAGCCTTCTGCCCCTTCTGGGAACCCTGTCTCTGCCCTTCACCAGGGTTTGTTTGGTGGCCACTCCCAAACTCTCACTCTCACATCCTTGCAGACGGTTTTTGAGGAAGAGAATTTGTATCCCCTAATGCAGGCTTCACCCTGACTGAGAGGGAGTGGTTCTTCCCGGAGGGAATAAATTTGGGTTGGTTTGAGATTTTCCTTTGAAGCCCAAAGAATTTACTGTTACAATTTGTTAACCATATTGCAATAAAAGCTGGACATGATTCTCATTTTAGCATTTTAATTTTTTTGGAAACAGGTAGCATATTGACTCTTTGAATTGCTAGTTCAGCCACCATGGGCTTGTCAGGGAAGGAACCAAAAGATGGACCCACAGGGTCTTCCAAGCCTTGACTGCTGTGTTGAGTGTTGCTAGGTTCTAAACAGACACTGCCCAGAGACAGAGAAAGCAGGCTCCCAACTGCCCTGGGGTGCATGTATGTATCCTTAATTCTGGGCATGCTTTGGGGGCCCTCCATGGGTAAACTGTCCCTTCAGAGTGCTGACCCCACCTTGGCCCCACCCCTATGATGGACGCTTTCTTCAGCTGCTCCAATCCTTTGAGGAAAGAAGACCTGGACTGTGGTCTCTGTGTTGTCTTTGTCCACCCCAACCCAAGGTGGAAGGTAAATGGGGCAGCAGAAGTGGAGCTTGAGCTCTGCAGAGAGCTGGGTTTGCTCATCAAGCTGGGTCTGCATCTGAGGGTGGGGAAGACAGTGGAAGAGAACTCCTGGGTTAGGATCATCATCTTGGTTTGAATTATCCTCAGACTGCAAGTCATCTCCAGGATGGGACTCCGGGCAGATAGGGGAAAGGGGACAGGCAATGCTCAGCAGCTTCCCCTGCCCCCAAAACACACAGGAGAACCAAGCTTGGCTGGGGAGTCCCGCTAAAGCAGGGGAGAGATGAGAGCATTCAGGGAGGCTAGGAGGCTATCCAGCATGGACACCCAGGGTCCTTTGCCAGTGTTTCACAAGCCCGTGACTACTCTTGATCTGCCCGCCTCCCGCCTTGGGCTTCACAGCAAACCCTCCAGCACACAGTGGCGGGTGTCCTCCCAAGCAAAGGCCCGAGCTGAGGTTTCCAGCATCTCCCCCCCCCACCAGCCACCCCAGGCCAGCACAGCTCTCTCTGCAGCCGGAAGCTCCCGAGTGCCAAATCTCGGCAAATTTTGCGGTTGCTCCGAGTTGCTCCGAGTCGGGCAGAGATTGCTTGCGACAGGTAAATGGGCTGCGGGTTGCCTTAATGCCAGGCGTATTTTCAGTTAATAGGGAGGGAAAATGAGGTGTCTGCAGCGATATTGGAAAGTACAAGATCGATGATCCGGCCTCGTGTCCAATCAGCAGCCTTTAATTGACTGTATTTTCTGGGTAATTGAGCCTCTCTTCCTCCAAATTGAAGTGGAAGATATAACAATACATCTTGCCAGGAGGAATTACTCATTACTTCATAATGAAATTTCCCTTTTGCCAAGGTTTGGGGTTTGGCGCTAGGGACCACTTCTTCCCCCAACCCCCCATGCTTAGCCCACCTGCACTGGGCAACCCAATCCGGCCTGACACGCCAGAGCCCCATTTGGGTGAGTAGGAGGGAGTGGGAGATGACCACGAAGAAGCAATGCCGCCCCACAGGCGCAGCCGCTATCTGTAAAATGAGAAGGCTACACAGGCCACAGGGCCTGACAGAGCATTGTTTTCGTTTTTTTCACTTTCTGAGTGCCTCCACTTGGCTTTGCCTCATCTCGGTTCCATTTTGCAGGTGGGAAAACGGAGGCTCCGGGTCTCGCACAGCTAGTAGTGGTTGGTCGACGTAGCTATGAGCTCCAGGCTCCTGCTTCCTCCTCCTTTGAAAAGTTTTGGGGCCCAGAGTCCTTGATCACCCTCAGCGAAGTCTGACACCTCACTCCCTACTCATGCTTTCTCACCGCGGTCAGGTCCCCAGCGCCCAGCCCGGGTTCGGTTCGCTCCGCCCGTCAAGGTTGCGCCCCGCAGCCCGAGTGAGCGCCGGGCCCCCAGCCATCGCCCGCTTGTTAGCGTATGATTGATTGCCTTATTAAAGCGTGTTCTTGTAAGTGTGACCAAACTGATTGCATTGCATATGTTTGGGATAATGCTCATTTTAAACAACAGGATAAAGAGGATGAGCTCGGCAGAGCCTCGGAGGGGAAATGATTTCGGCCAGCAGCTCCCTAACTCTGGCATTAAATTGCCCAGTTACATAGCAAATCGCTTGCTATGGGTTCCTACATCGTTGTCCCCATTTTTTACCCTTGGCCTACAATTTGATCCCGTCCTCCAATGTGGTATGCCCCACAAATGGTGATCTGCTCCATTCCCAGTCTTGAACCAGACAGCCTCACACCCGCATGAAGTCCTCCTCCCCCACCCCAGGCTGAGGGAAAAGGGGTTTAGAATGCACCCTCTCACCCTAGGCCTCCCAGAGGAACATGGCCCTAGACAGTCACCCCAAATGGGTGCTTGGGTCCCTGCAGTAAGTAAGGCATGTGTCCCTTCATCCCCAGCCCTTTCACTGAAGTTTAAAAAGATTCTTTTGTTCCCCAGGCTTCTCCCGCTCGGTTGCTTCCATTATTCCCCAATCTAGGAAACACCAGCCACCATATGTCCACCGGAGAGTGTGAGTGTCACAGTGGACAGTTGCCGAAGATGTCCAGATGTATGGCATTCTCAGAGTGGGAAGAGTTTTGCCTTCCTAGCATCCTCTCTTGTCTACCATTATCCCAGAGTGGTATAGGGAGGGGGAGGAGTCAGTGGGGAAAGGGGAGGAAGGAAAGAAGGTTGGGGCAAAAAAATGGCATTTCTTCTAATTATCTCCCCATGCCCCCCTCCACCATTCGTTGTGTCAAGGTTCTTTCTGTATCTGTTCCCTAACAAAGAAATCCTCATCTGGCCTGCACCTACTCCTGTTGATTTGCACAAGACCCAAACAGCTCCCGGATTGAACTTCCTAAGGGACACCTTTGGGATATGCTGGAATTCTGATTTGTTCAACATGATGATAGTCATCAGAGCAAATCAGAAACGATGCCACTCTTCAGGGTGTCATTTGTAAGTGCAGTCATTCGGATTCGTTTGCAGGACCCAGCAAAAACTCGTCTGGATAAGTGACTAGATCCAAACGACAAATTTCTTCCATCACTCAGCTCCTCCCAAGCTCTGCAGGGGCAGGCACAGCAGACTGCAGTAAGGTGAAACTAAGGCCCAGCTCACCATTTGTGCAAGCTTGAGGGACCCCCCGAAATGTTGGTCCTGAGAAAAAAAACCAAAACCCAATCACAAAATGCGTCCTACTGCCTACAAAGCAAACAGAGACAAAGTCATTTCCAAAATCACCTTCTCAGCAAATAAGTATGTGATATTCTAAGCAGGAGAGAGAGAAAGATTGCCACTTAAAAATAACATGAAAGCATTAAGTAATTATTTAAAACAAGGCTGTTTAGAAAAATATTTGTATTTATTGCAGCTGCTCAATTGGCCTCGTTAAAGTCGGCAAGCATTTAAATTGTGTTACAATCTCATTTAAATCCCGCTCCGTTCCAGCAGGCTGAAGAGCTTGAATAGACCAATCACTTCATAATGATGATGAATGAGAAATTAATTCAGATACAAGCAAGACAATTTAGGCCTTCATCTGTTTAAATAGCCTTCCAATATTATTCGCGATCGCGGGTCACAGATTGAATCAATTGTCCAATCTTGTGAAAGTCATATCCTTGCATCTTCATCGAGATTATTTATAGCGCAGTGAGGGCTGCTGAAAGGTATACGCTGTTAACAGGGACAATTACTTAAAGGGAAGCGTTTATAAAATGGGAAACAAATGCGGAGGTTGGTAACAAATGGGATCAAAAGCAGCCATTCCAATCCTGCTTCTCCGGGGAAGGGAGTGGCGAGGCCCTGCGGGATGAGGGGTTCTTCTGGCCTCCCCAGGGCCCAGGTGAGGCCGAGTCTCCAGGGCGCGCCATCCTGCGCCATCGCTGTGGCTCGGTCGGCAACCCAACCCGGGCGGCCTCGCCCTCGCCGGCGGCAGGTTCCCGGCGCCCGCGCGCAGGCAGCAGCCGGGCGTGGCCTGGGATGGGCAGCCCGAGGAGCAGCGGTCCGCAAACGCCCGCCACCAAGGCGTCCCAGTTTGTGTCCTGGTCTTTGTCCCTTTCTGGGTCTCAGGATCCTGGCTGGGGTCTGACCGCCACTCTCAGGTGGCGACAGGGTGCTGGGGCCTTAGTCGTGGAGGTTTGGAGGCCTCGTTGCGCACCCAGGGCGGAGGTTGTTGGAGACTCCTGGACTCTGGAAGTTCAGCCTCCTCTTAAACTGGGCCTCTTTCTAAGCTGATGGCGGGCTGGGGGAAGGGCCCCCTTTCCAGGGACCCCCTCCCCCGGGTCACTTCCATGGCCAGCTCCTCTGGGTGCCCTTGGGCCTATGAGCAGCGTCCATTTCTCCCAACAAAGAACCCTTTCTTTCCCTCATCCGAGTGTCCCTTT